ATTGTTACATTGTATCTCTTGTTATTTTAAGATGTATTTATTTCCTGTAATCCTCAGCTCCCTCTAGCAGCCACAATGCACTATTTTCCTAATTTACTACTGCCCCTAATATTTGAAGAACATTCGACCAGAAGATAAAAGACCCTAAAAGCATTGATTTTGCCCCATTCTCATAACAGCTGGTTAATTCGCACAGAACGAATGTACATACAGTTTCACTGAGCAAATAGCTGTGCAATTTTAAATAGACTTGTAAGTGTCTGAGCCAGCATTTCTCAACCTTTTTCCAGCCATGGCACCCTTTAAAGTATGTCCCAAATCTGAAAATCGACTACATCCAGAAATGCATCTCTGGAGGAACATTATAAAGTAATCTTCTGACGGTATATACCAGTGATGGCTAACGTTTTTGAACCCGAGTGCCCGAACTGCAACACAAAATCAATGTATTTATCTCAAAGTACCAAACCTGAAAATAAGTTTGGTATTGTGTTGCAGTGTGGGCATTGGGGTTTAAAAATCGTTCAGCACATTTAAATATTTATACACTCAATAAAACACACACATCACACACATATTTAAAAAACACATATTAAGAAACACACACACTCGTACACACAAACGCATTAAAACACACACATATCACATTCTCATAAAACATACACGCAATAAAAACACACATCACACAAAATCATCAAAAAAAGCACACACATCACTCACGTAATGAAACACACACATCACACACTCATTAGAAAAAACACACACATTACACACGCATTAGGCACACACATCACGCGCTCAGTAAAAAAAAAAAAACACTCACATCATTCACAATTAAACGAATAACAATAAAACTTAATAATAAAAAAATTGGCCCCTCTCCTGCTTACCTGTTTTGCAGGGAGGGGGGTTGCATCCCTGGGGTCCAGTGGAGGATTAGTATGATCTGCATCTCTGGCTGATGCGGCACCACGAGGGAGCAATCAGTATGGTCTGCATCAGGAAGAGATGGAGATCATACTGATCTTCCAATGGACCATCACGGGATGATTTTTATTTAATATATTGCCGGTTCGGCAATATATTAAATAGGATTTGGGCGCCTGCCAGATTTGAAGATGGCTATCGTGATTCGCGGCAGCCATCTTTAAAAACTTAGAGGTAGTAGGCCTGGTTCACACCTGTGCATATTGCATAAGCGCGTCACACGCGCGTTTTCTTCCCGGAGTTTGGCGCGTTTTCATGTGCGTTTTTAGTGCGTTTTTTTACATTAGAAACGCGCGTTGCACGCGTTTTGAAGCGACAACAGAGGTATCCAATGAAGAAGAATTCCTGTTTTTCCGCAAGCGTCCAATGAAAAAGACTTCCTGAGACGCAGCATTTCCCTTTCCTGTATTAAAAAGACCTTTGTGGTGTGTGTGTGTCGGATTTTTTGCGGAGAGCAGTTTTGGATTATTTTTGCCATTATGGAGCTGTCCATACGACGAAGGACTGCAGCAGTCGTTGCAGCACTGCGTCTGATAGTGTTGTGGAGAAGGAGGGATAGTAGGCGAAGATTCTGGATACATCCGATAATAGCCAACCGTGAGGAGAGAGGGCAATTTTGGGCTATGTTTCACACCCTACGTGGACATGAGGATAAGTTCTTCAACTACACCCGCATGTCGATAAATAGGTTAGTACATAAGTGTTGTTCTGTCCCATTCCTTGTAATGGAATACATGTATATGTTGTTCATGTATTCATATTGCTAATTACTAGTATTGACCACAAACCTTTATATACATTTTCAGTTTCGATGAGTTACTGGGATTGCTGTCTGACAAGTTGGAGCGTCAGGACACCTTCATGCGGGACAGCATTCCACCTCCGGAACGATTGGTGATCACTTTGCGGTAAGTTATGTACATGACTCCTTTGTATAATTATAAACGAATTAATGTTGGCGTATAGAAGCATAAATAAAGTTTATGTGTGCTCTCTGTGATTAGTAGCGGGTATAGGTATGAAATTAATTATTTATGTGTACTAATTTATGAATATAAATCAGTACATATCAATCACCAATTTCATATATACACTGTCAGCTGGCGATTTGCTCATGCAGCGAGCTGTGATCTACAATCTGGGAGCTACACCGGTTTGTGGAACTACAAATAACAGATCATAAATTGAATACAATTTGTGTTAAACCCCATAAAAAACCACACAAACTCATTGTTAAATTCTATGGGCGGAAATACGGACAGGTGGGAACTATAACATTGACTTCAATGCTATTTACTTTTTGGTCCGTTTTGTAGTGCGTTCATCGAGCGTAGGACGCACTACAAAACGGTCAGGTGTGAATGGGGCCGTAAGAAACACCGGAGGCCCACGCAGAGCACCCCAAGTGAGAACCTGGAGTGTGTGGGCCCCGGCAACTAGGCTCGTGTGCCACCAGAGGGGCCTCTGTGTGCCCTCTGTGGCACACGTGCCATAGGTTCACCATCAGTGGTATATACTTTAGTAGCAAGTCATCTCAAATGATTTGTTCTGGGACATTCTGGTAGATGCTTCCGAGGATGCTCAGAGAGAGGTACATTTATGCATGTTTTGTGGACCTGCCCCATTGCTCGCTCTTTTTGGTCCAAAGTTTACAGAATAATTACTGTCCTTATGGGTACTTGTATATCTCCTGATCCTCAAGTCGCCCTTCTTATAGTAAAATCTCCTGACGTTTCCATTACACTAATGTTCCATGTTTTAACTGTGGCAAAATGCACAATAGCTAGAGCATGGCTCACCAATACACTTTTGATTTCTGAGGTCAAGAACTGCGTGTACTGGATATTAGTTAACAAAAAGCTGACGGCACATCTATATGATAGGATGACGAAATTTGAACACTAATGGGAACCCTGGATAACTCATTACTAACCTTCTTCTTTTTACCATGTTATAGTTGGTCTTTAATAAAAAATTGGTTTTGAACCTCCGGCACTTATATTCTGGATACCTAGGAGTGTGTTTTCTGCTCTTGCTTCTCCTTTTCTCCTTCCTTTCTTTCCTCTGAATTTCCCCTTGTTTTGTTTTAACTTAGGTTTTGTGTTACTATTTACTTTTTGAAGAGTCAAGTTTGACTTACCCTTTAAACCAGTGGTTCTCAACCCGTGTAACCTCGGGACCCACATGTTTCCTTGGTCATTAAGGCGTGACCCAAAAATGATTTAATTTCTGAAACATTTAAATTTATTACACAAAACAACTTGTGCAGTATTCAGCAACATTATATATATATAATATTATTGCGCCGGCCCGAAAGTGAGGAAATAGTCCCCTCTCTCCCCGGGCCATACCACTTTATCTGAGAGCCCGGGGGAGGCCGGGAGAGAGGGGACAGTTTGACATGAGGTTCCACAGGCTGAACCACAAATTCCCCCTCTCTATTCAGTCTCAGGCCGGTCTATTCAGACATGACGCCGCGACCCACTGCAGAGGGTGTCGCGACCCACTTTTGGGTCGCGACCCACGAGTTGAGAACCACTGCTTTAAACTGTGCACGTAATGACATGATTATTGACTTTCAATGTCCTCATTATCTTTACACTTATGTAATCCTCTTGTGAACGATCGTCGATTTTCTGGTAAAACCTACTTTAACAATGATGAAGTGTTTCTTCTGTGCCTCATCCCCTTCCTTCCCCACGTTGTTGTGTTACTCTTGATACATTTTACTTATTGTGTATGTTGCTGCTTAAAATTTAACCCTTAACAAAAATTTATTGAAACTGAAAAAATATATGTAAAATCTCAGGGCACGCGGGTCCAAAATCTGAAAAATTTAAAAAATTAAATGTGGTCCTTCAAAAGTCCATACCAGACCCTTATCTGAGATAGGGATATGGTCTTGATTTTTAAGGTAGAACTGCATGCAAAAACACATAAAAAAAGTGGGGTTTACCCCTTTACATCAGAACCCCCCTTTCACATCAGAGTCCCCCTTTACATCAGGTGCCCCCCATCAGATTAGGACCCCCCTTCACATCAGAGTCACCCTCTCTCACACTAGGAGCCCCCTTTTCACCATGGCCCACCTGCATCATGAAAAGGCATTATACTGTTTGAAAATTTCAAGACACCCCTGAGGAAGTAAAAAGGCACCCTCATTGAGAAAAGCTGGTCTGAGCAATAGAACAGTCTGTACTTTAAAAGAAAATCAGCAATGACAGTTCCCATAGTTCTATCCTCGCAGGTTCCCTTTAATTAGAACAGTTGCTTACAAATTCAGTTGCCTTGAAAGGAAGTGAATCGTAAGGAAGCAGGTGATTGCGCAAGCCAGAGTAGCTTCAAGGCCAATTTAGGTAAACAATGAATCCTAAATGACTCACATTTACTATTTGTCCCTTTTATTAGTGTAAATGACTCCCAGCCAAAAAAGACATTATAAAAATGATTTTAAATACTTTGGAAATTATTTTTAAATTACGTATCTTTTCCTCCGCACAGCTTTTTAGAGTTCATAATGATACATATTTTTTCACATAATTGCAAAGCACACTTGTTAATCAAATTATTCTTTAATTAGTTAGCTAATGATTTTAGCCATACATTGCTTTCAGAACTTTCAATTCTTGTTGTATAGTAATTATATATAATTAAACTACATCAGGCCTTTTTTCCCTTCTGGTACATAGGCTGATTATTTCCCCCCTTCCCTCAAAAAAAAAAAAAAAAAAAAAAAAAAA